TGTTTATCCAGCTATGGGCTGCCCATTGTTTTTTCAGAAGGATCCTGTGAGAGACAATATTGAAGGCTTTACTGAAATCCAGAAGCATCACAACAACTGGCTTTCTTTGGTCATCTCCTGTGCCCTTCAGAGGAGATGCTTAAAAGGTGACCAGCACTGATGGGCCCCTGGACCTTCACAAACTTTTTCCCCACAAGACCTTTCTCACTATTATTCTGAGCAGTCTGACGTCTGCGCTGCCCCTGTCCAGAGCTGAAGTTTTGCTCCAATTGACAACAGAGATTTTAAACTTGATAGCTTTATGACCACTGTGGCCAAGACAGCACCAATCAGTGCTTCACTCATAAGACCTTCTCTGTTAACAAGCGACACATCAAGGAACTTTGATCAGCTCCTTTAGTACATGTACCATGAAGTTATCATTGTAGCATGGTTTCTCCCTCTGCCACAGGAGAGCTTATCTGTTGTTTATTAGCTGGTGCAATAACTCAGGACATCTTTCTCTCACATAAGCCTAAGATGAGCCTTGGTGAAATAACTCAATCAGGACAGTTTGCCTTGTAGTGAGTTATTTCAGTGCCATTCAGATTGATGCTTTCAGCTGACAGTAAACATGTTGCTGTGGAAGCAGATGTGGAAAGATGAGCTGGAATTTCTGACTGACAGACATTTCATTTCAAAAACTATAAAAGCTACACCATACTTTCACAAAGCAGAAGTCCACACATTCCCTGAAATGTGTGAAGCTTTCTCCCGAAGTCAGGATGACTACTTTGTGATTATTCTCGTGGGGACTGAGAGAAAGGACTATCATCACTATTGTACCCTATTGTCAATTCAGTGGTAAGTTACATTGACTCCTAATCTATGTTTTTTTTTTGCTAGCAATAATATAGGTACCTTTATGTCATGTGCTGTTTTACATAATCCACTAGTAGTACTAGTTTTGCTTTATCCTGTCTAGTAGGTAACTCTTTAAATTAGGCTTTTTGTTTGCTAATCTCCTTTCTATTCAGTAAATAACTTATTTTATAACAGACCTGATTGGGCATCCTTAAGAACTTGCAAAACAGAGTGATTTAGGTACAGGGATTTAGAGTTGCTGCCAAAAATCTGATCCTAAGGCAGGGCTTGTCTAAAGCTCTCACACAATCCATAACAATCATTCAGGTGTTCAGGAGTCTTCTGGACCTGTTTGTGCCGTCTGTGTGGTTTCCCCAGTTAACATCTGGCAAGCTGAAGTCACCTGTCAGGACAAGGACAGTTGATTTACAGGTGTCTGTTAGCTCCTAGAAGAGTAATTCACTAGATTATCATGCTGGCTAGGAGGTCTATAGTAGATTCTCACTCTGACATCCACATTTTTTGTTTGTCCCCTAATCCTTTCCCAAGGGCTCTCAGCTGTGCCAGTGACAACTACAAGATCCATACATTCCAGTCCTCCATTACATACAATGTCACCCACCTTCACCACTTACCTATCCCTCCTAAAGATCCTGTAACCATCCAACATGGCACAACACTCACAGGGCTCATCCCACTGGGATTCACTTATGCCACTGATGGGACTGGACCAAGGCTTTGAGCTCTTTTTGCTCACTCTTTATGCTGCATATATTGTGTAGAAGCATTTCACATGTGGTTCATTGTAGTTAACACCTCCTGGAGCAGACTGAAGGATGCCTCTAGCACTCAGTTCCTCAAGTTTTGGCATGCCATCCCATTCCTTACCACTGGCCAGCCTGGTTTTGTCCCTTACCTGCTTCAAGACTTTAACATTCTACCAATTAGTGCTGCTAGTTCCTGTGTTAGTACCCATTTCCCTCTCTGAGAAAGGTGCAACTCATCAGATGTTGGTAGACCAGATGTTAAAAACACCATCCCACAATTAAAAAGCTCATTTTTCCAATTACATCAGACTCCTATCCATGTGTTGGATTGATCACTCTGCCTATTCCTTTTGTTATTCTTTCTTGCTACTGGAATGACCAAGAAAAACACAACCTGTGTTCCTGATCCTTGAACCAATCACCCAAGATGATGATTCAACACTGAACTGTCTTATTTTTTTAAAAAAGAAACTAAATTATCTTGAACTTTCCTACTTACAGATAGCAAGTCTCTTACTAAATAAGGGTTCTTTTTGACTTATATTCCTCTGAGACTTACAGAGACTTTTTTTGTGAACAGCAGTATTTTGTTGGAACTAAATACAGCTCCTAGAATATAATATTCATTGTTGGAGCTCCTAGAATATAATATTCACTGTGTTTGGTTCTTTGACCCGAACACAATGAATATTATATTCTAGGAGCTAATGACTATCATTAACTCTTAGAATATAATATTCATTGTGTTCGGGTCAAAGAACAGTTAGCATGTATGATGGTAGGCTACCAGTTTGTCAGGAAATTTATTAAATCTCTGTATTTTCTGTATTATGCAGGTGTGCTGTTCATGGCTGGAATATTGCAAGGCTTAATAAATTGCTCTTGAGATGCCCTGGCAGAAGAGGTTCTAAAAAGTACTGTTGTCTAAATAAATATTTTGAGTCTAGTTTTGTAATCCTCTGGAAAACAATGATATTATTACAGCTGGTAAAAAGCTAGACTTCCATGTCATTATAGCAGTCACACTTATCAAGTTTGTTTCTCTTCTGTGCTGGAGTAAAACCAAAATTTTAAAGAATTTTCACAAGGAAAATTGCATTGTAATAGCATTTTATGAAAAAATTATTCAGATTTTCAATTTCATCTTCTCTCAGTGGAAATAACTGCTCAACTCAGGATGTTTAAAACCTTTCTAACAAAAACTCCATAGAGCTAACAATTTCTTACATGCACTTCAGCTTGGACAATCAGGATTTTCTCAAAAAGCTGTTTTTTGAAATGCTGCAACCAGATTTACTGACAAAGAACTCAGATTCTGATTATATTTGTTAGTCCTTCAGGGTCTTGTTACACTTTTTTTTTACCAATATGAGCCCAGTAGAAAGCAACACAGCAATCACAGCTGTCACTACCTTGTGTGAAGTAGGACGAGAAATTGAACTGAAATTATGAGAACTGCAGAAAGCAACATGGTCCCAGGCACTGGGCACAAACTGAATGTTGTGATGACTTATTAAAAGCAGAGGTTTACCTACTGGGAACGGAAAACTAAGGCGGCCAGAATGTGATAATGTGATTTTTCTGTGCAAATAAAACTTAATATGGCATCAGGATCTTCCTCTATGAGGGATCCTCAACATGGGGACAGGAACATAGGAATTGGGATGCAGGACAATAAGACTGTTGTGTTTTAGGAATGGTGTTCCCCAATTTAGCAACTGTGCTAAAACCACACCACCATTCACTTCCCCTCCCTACACCCCAAAAGAATGCATAAAAGGCAGAGATCATGGATTGAGATTAAGAACAATTTACTGGAAGGAGCAATGAGACAAGAAAATGAGCAGTAACAGCAATAATATTAATGGGAAAAATGTACAAAGAGAGGGTGATTTACATGTAAAATGCTCACAAAGTCCAAGACAATGAAACATCTGCCAATGAAACATCAGCTTTCCTCCATCTGGAAAGCACGCCCTTCTTCCCAGAAGCTGGAGGGCCCCCTAGCCAGCAATGATGTGAGGTGGCATAGAACAACCTTCAGGTTATGACAGGGCTCCACTCCCTCATGGCTATGGCAGAAACTAACTCTGTCATGGCTGGGACTAGGAGATTATCCATCCTGTATTCTATACCATTTACATCGTGTCTAGATCCTGCACCCTCCAACTATATGCACATACATTTATATAAATATACACCAAGTCAGCGATAATTCACCTTTTTGTTGCCAATCCACCTCCTCCTGAGACATTTTAATCTTGAGAGCTCAATCCAGCTGTCCATTGTTGGAACGTTCTTCAGCAGCCCAACTCTTGGGCACATGTGCATCTCATGATGAACAACTACAGCCAACTTCCCCACCCAGTTATATTGTAATCCCACTCTTTCATGTGATACAGAACAAGGATGATTTCATAATTTTATTTGCATTTAAAACAGATTCCTTTAGATGTCCTTCTTTTTTCTTTCTCAGTAGTTTCTAGTAGGAATTTCTTTTAGTTTCCTTCTCTGCCTTCTCTTTTTGAAAAGCATTATGGGTTACTTTGACATAAATGGGTCAAAAGTTCATTGTTCTTGATAAATATGCTACTTGGTATGTAAAGGTTACATTGTTTTTAGTAAACCATCCAGAAGTTCATTAAATGCCAAGAAAAACACACTCCTGCACACATTAAAGAAAAATAATCCACTAATTTATGCATACTCTTCCTTTATTTCATGAATAGTAGTCTAAATAATCTTTACTAATTAGTATTTTTATCTGCACCACTTGTTTCATTTGCAGTCTTAAATGTGAATTTATGGAGGTTCTTAGGGCTGTTCTTAACATAATCTATTCCTCTTAATTCTGTTCAACATTTGATTTCTTTATAAGTTACAGGTGATTTCCAAACATGACATATCCATATGTTTCTTTCAAACCTCTAGTCTGCACATTAAAATGGAAAGGTGTTAATTATGGAGGCCAAAGACAGAACAAATCAACAGCCAACAGAGGTCAAACAAAAACCTCTGGTTTATCAGACTTTCATAACTGCAATTTACAGAAGAGGCTGCTTTTGTGTTTTGTTTTTTTTTTTTTTCCTAATTATATTTGAAAATCAGCATGATTCAGCTCAACTGGATAATATCAGATAGACAAAACAAAATTATTTTTATCTGGCATTACTCACCTGCAGTGTTATACTTGTTATTCTGTAAACTTGAGATAAACTGACCTTTCACAATCCTTGTTAGTCTTGTTTGGAATCCATAAATAAATGTTGTATAAATGATACTTTAGGGAAAGTTATGTAATACACAGTCTTTAAAGATAACATTTAAATATGAATCTCTTAATATTAGTTAAATTATTTTTGTTTCACACTTGCCTCCTTTAAACAGATGAAAGTGGTGTGCTTGTGTTGCCTGCTGGAAATCAATATTAATACAGATGGTAAGTAAATAAGCATCTCATCTTCCCCATGCCAGATGTTCAATAACTGCAGAACTGAATAATGGATAGTAACACATCCTAATGTCTTTATTATTCCATGTATCTTTTTTACAATGCAAAAGAGGTAATCTGAGATTTTTGTAGGTTTTTCAGCTCTTGCTATGCACTAACAAGGAGCTGTCTGAAAAGGATGCCATGTGAAAGAGAGGCCACATTACCTAGAAGCAATAACAGAGTGTGATACCGCATGAAATGGAAATTCACTTTGACAACGGCTGGAATATGGTTACTATCATCATTATCACTCAGAATTAAAGTTACACTTACAAAAGTGTATGAGGTGAGTTTGATTTAACAGTAACCAAGCTAGCTTGTTTCTCATGAACTCCAAACCTTTGAAAAAAAGAGGAAGGAAAAAACAGTGAGATGGTCACCATATTGTCAACACCCCAGTTAACAGCTTTATTGCCTGAAAAAAAATGTGCTGGCATTTTAGTTATCTTTAAAGGGAACAATAGCAGGATAATTTTCTTCAGAACACATAAACGACTGTATTGCTCACTAGGTCTTCAAGGTTTAAACCAAAGTTAAAACACTAAAAGCATTTTTAATCCGTTCAGGAACTTCACAGCGAAAACTAGAATAATGCCTGTGGAAAATGGAATCTGAATTCTGAAGGAACTATAGTGCAGTGTTACAGTAATCAAAGAGGGGAGGGAGTTTAGTGTGAAAGCAGTTAACAGACAGAAATGCAGTTAAGCTATCCAGCTTTGCCATGGCAAACTAGCTGTCCATCACTGTTTGATTGCTTTGCACTGCTTCTTGTCCTTGATTTTCCACTAAAGTAATAAAAGTGTTCCTGTTTTTCAGCAGTAGAGAACCAGCTATTCAGCATATCCTAGACTAAGCATTGTGCATATTTTTAAAGATTCCTATTTAGAAACAATAGTCTCAGAATTTCTGGTGGAAGGCTAAGAGAGACAAGAAAATTAAACATGTTTTAGTGGAACTGTTATATCAAGTGTTATTATGTTACACCTGGCATCTGTTTGTTTCTTTTGTTTCTCTTTTCCAGTCTCCTTGCCAAGTGACTGCTAATAAATAGATTTAACCTGAGCCATCTGTTGTTTTACTGTAGACCTATGTGCTGTGGCCTCCTGTTTACTATAGCAGTACATTTAATCAATTTTTTTGCCAATGACATTTAAAATATATACACATACAGGTTAACCAGACAACCACTGTAAACCACTTCTCAAGCATATGTTATACTACATTGTCTTCCATTAACAAGATCCACTTAGTCCTGGAGTGCACTTGGAGTGCATCTTAGTTGTATTTGTTTAGAGTTTGCTATTTATTAATGCACTGTACTGGAAAGGGCAGGGGAATCTCCATATGGTATATTGTATAGCTGATTAAGTAACTGAAAAATTGATCATTATGTGTTGACTCTTTGGGTCTTTTCCATTATTAGATTTCTTTCTTGCCTTGCAGCATTTTTCTTTGCAAGGGGCAAAGTACTGCTGTTACTTCAGTTCCTGATAAAATAATTCTGACTTTCACAAGAGGAGGAACTGGTAGCACTGCAGTTTCTGTTGCTGAGCAGAACAGTAGATTGTAACTCTATCACCTTTCTGTCCTCATCATAGGAGCAGAAACCCAGCTGATATCAAAGGTCTATCAAAGGTGGTGTGCAAGCACTGAAAACAGATCTTTCTTGCTGTCATATACACAGAGATTAGGCACAAATGAGTAAATACTCAGAAACTATTTTTTTTTTCTTTTCCAAAGATTTTTAGAGCTATACCTATCTGCATCATGAGACACAGCTGTGTTCCTGTCTGGTAAAAAGATGAAACACTTCAGATAAACCATTTGGGCAAGGTATTCCCATTATAACATTAAAAACTTTTAAATCATTTTAGTGTGGTCAATGACTTCAAGTCTGGGTTTCTGGGAAGTGCTCAAATAGTTGGGTTCTTTTCACTCTGCAAAAGTAAAGATGGCCTGGGTTTAAGAAGTTCTAAATATGTGAGGTATTATATGAGTGAACAGAAAAAGAGCTGCAAGTGCTATGTGCTATTAAACAGTGAAAATCAAGAGATGAATTTGAAAACACTTTTTTCCCCACCTTTTTAATGAAAATCCTTTGAAGAAGTGATGCTTCTTAATCCTTGCTCATTTCAAGGTTCAAAACTGACCATAAAGAGATTTGGCAAAGGATCTTTAAAGCAGGTGGCCAGAATGAGTAATACCCTTATGCAACAGCAGATTTTTCTGTGGTATTTCTGAGCTCATGGAAACAGAGAGGTTAGCAAATCCTAATCCCTAATTGTAAATAATTTGTTTATTTATGCACAATGTAAATTTCTCTTAAAAATTTTGTTGCTCATCAGGTGTTCTTCAAAACAATACTTCCAAAGATAATAATATCAATTCAATGTGTGAGTTGTATTTACAGCACAAAAAATAAAAATGTAAATTGATACTTCAAGATGCCTTAAAAATATAGTTACATCATTAAGTATTGGTGTAAATCAAAAATTTCACATATTGTCTTTTCCTGTTTACAGTTTTTTTCAACATCACAGTTTCTTAGTATTTAGAATCAATTAGGAGTGACATCTATCTCTCAATTTCTTGTTCTTTCATTTGACACTGCATCATGAATCATTGAATTGTTAAAGTTGGAAAAGACCTTTAAGACCATTAAGTTCAACTGCCAACTCAGCAACGCCACCACATTCACTGCTAAAAGATGTCCACGCATCTTTTAAACACTTCCAGGTATGGTAACTCAGCACTTCCATGAGCAGTCTGTTACAATGCTTGACAACATTTTCTCAATATTCAATCTAAACCTCCATTGCTTTAACTTGAGGCAATTTCCTTTTGTTCTGGGAAAAGATAGTAACCCTGTTCCAGATTGCAATGCAAGATGTATTCTATTACCATCTGTATGGCAGATTTTCTTTTGTCAAGTGGGCAGTTTGCTTTATCTCTCTCTCTGAGTGACCACATTCACACCTCCCTGGGGAGGGGACATTGCTGATAACAGGCTATTGAATGTCACTGCATGACTGATAAGAACTATAACATCCCATTGTGAGATGCTCTGCCCAGAGGGAGGAGCCAAGCATTGCTGCCCAGATATAATCCAGAAGTTTCCAGACACCAGCCTGGCTTTCTCTACGGGATTCCCCAGAGGAACAGCAGCTGTCTCTTCCATGGGATCTTCAGAGGAAGAATACATCCTTCTCTACAGATCCCCCTCGCTCCAACAGAACCACACCTGACACTTCAGGAGGAGTGCAGCCACATTTCCAATTGGACTGCTACCAACACCCCACAGGGTGTCAGGTTGGGTTCTGACTCTGTCAGTGTTGTTCTAGTGTACTGCATTGTTTATTTTATCCTTTTATTTTTCTTTTTCCTATTAAAGAACTGTTATTTTCTGCTCCCATATTTTTGCCTGAGAGCCCCTTAATTTAAAATTTATAGCAATTCGGAGGGGTGGGGAGGGTTTACATTCTCTGTTTCAGGGGAGGCTCCTGCCTTCCTTAGCAGACTCCTGTCTTTCCAAACCAAGACAAACCCCCACATGACTACACCCTCCTTTCAGGCAGTTGTAGAGAATTTAAACATTTAATTTAATATCTTTCCAGATCACAGAATATTCTGAGTTGGAGGGATAAGGTCTCCCCTGAAACTCCTTTCTCCAGGATAAAACAACCTCAGCTCCCCCAGCTGCTCTTCCTCACAGGATTTGTGCTCCAGACCCTTCACTAGCCTTGTTGCCCTTCTCTGGACTCACTCCAGCTTCTCAATGACCTTCCTGAAGTGATGGGTCCAGAAATGGACACAGCATTCAAGGTGTGGCCTCCCCAGTGCCGAGTACGGGGGAAAAGCCCCTTCTCTGGTCCTGCTGGCCGCACTGCTGCTGATACAAGCCAAGATCCATTGGCTTTCTTGGCCACCTGGGCACAGCTGGAACATGTTCAGCCACTGCTGATCAGCAGCTCCAGGTCCTTTTCCACCGGGCACTGTCCAGCCACTCTGCCCCAGGCCTGTAGCACTGCCTGGGGGTGTTGTGACCCAAAGGCAGGAGCCCACACTTCTACTTGTAGAACCTCAAACATCTGACCTCAGCCCATCAATCCAGCCTGTCCAGGTCCCTCTGCAGAGCCTTCCTGCCCTTCAGCAGATCAACACTCCCACCCAACTTGGTGCCACTTGTAAACTTGCTGAGGGTACACTCAATCCTCTCACCCATGTTGTTGATGAAGATACTAAACAGGGTTGGCCCAAGACTGAGTCTTGGGGAAAACTGGACTCATGAAGAAAACTTTTTATTTATTTACTGCTTGATTAATATATTTTACTAGTAAATGGCAACTTTACAAGGCTCAAAATATTGCACAAACTTAAAAGGTGAAACCTTACAATCTTTAAATTTTTAAAAATATGTAAAAAAGTTTAGCCAAGAACAATCTAGACTGCATCAAGTAAAAAAAAAAAAAGAAAAAGAAAAAACCCCTGAAATACAGACTTTTTTTTTCTGTTTTAATAGTGATATGGATAATAATTTTGTTGGTGTTCAAATGCCATGACCATTTTCTCTTTTTTCCTTTATTTAAAATGAAAAAAACCCTAATGCCTGCAACAAAGACTAACAGTATGCAAGGTAACTACAACAGCTATATTGGCTGATGCCCAAGGACCTCAAGAATAGACAAGAATTAAAGCACAGATGGCAGGATACCTACAAAGATGAACGAGGAACTCATTAACAGAACTTGGACATAAGGGAAGAATTCAAGAGAATCAAGACACTGCCCAAATGTGCAGGAATGAAATTAGGAAAGCCAAAATCCACCTTTTCCTTGGCTTTGGAACTAAGGCTTCCTTCAGGAATGCCAGGACTGGAGACCTGTGGGAATATTGGAAGTGAGGAAGACTTCCAATATTGCAGAGGATCATCTTAGGGGGCGTTTGAACAGAGCAGACACATGCAAATCCATGAGGCCTGGTGGGTTGCACCCACAACTCTGGTGAGAGCTGGCAGATGTCATTATGAGACCACTCTCCATTCCCTTTTAGAGGATGTGGCAAGTGGGAGAGATTGTTGGGGACTGGAAAAGAGAAAGTGTCATTCCTGTCTTCAAAAAGGGCAAAATGGAGGACCAAGCACACCAGAGGACTCTCAGCCTCACCTCAGTCCTTGGAAACATGATGGAGAACATAATGCTGGAAGTAATTTCTGTGTATATGAAGGACAAGAAGCTGACTTGGAGTAGTCAGCATGACTGCTTGAAGTAGTCAGTTCACCATTTGTGAAGGGGAACCATGTGTGACCAGCCTGATAACCTTCTAAAGCAAAATGACTAGCTCAATGGGCGAGGGAGGAGCAAAGATTAGGGAGCAGTCTTCTCAGTGGGACACAGCAAAAGGACAATGGGCATACATTTAAATACAAAAAGTTTCTTTTGAGCAAAAGAAAATGCTGCCTTTTTTTTTTTTTTTTCAGTAAGGGTGATCAACACTGGAAGAGGTTTTGAGAAATATTGTAGCATTTGCATCCCTGGCTTCATTCAAATCTCAACTGGACAGAAGTGTTGGGCAATCTGCTCTAGCAGTCCAGTTCCCCTCTTTCAGCAGGGGATTAGGCTGCACAGTCTGCTGAGCTGCCTGACAGCCCCCCAGCTATGCTGTGATACTGTGATTATTAAAGATATCTAACATGACCTGCACTAAGACCAACGCAAGAAGAAACAACAGGAAGGTATGGTATTGGAGGTCCCTTGTGGTATGGAATGGAAATACCTGTTTGCAGACCAGATCCTCTGTTGATGGCAATATGTGGCCTCCCTGGGACCAGCAGGCTGAAGAACCTAGCATGACTGCCAGAGAGGGATCTGAAATAGATTGGAGCGCTGGGTAATTATCAGTGGCATGAAATTAAACGAGAACAAATCCAGATTCTGCCCCTGGGATGGAGACCCGGGCACCAGTATGAGCTGGCAGAGGAGTGTGTGTAGAGCAGCCCTGCCAAAGGGATCTGGGGGTGCTGGTGGGCAGCAGCTCAGGGTGAGCCAGCAGTGTGTGCCCGGGCAGCCAGGAGGGCAAACCCCATCCCGGGGTGCAGCAGACACAGCATCACTAGCCAGCCAAGAAAAAGGTTGGAAGGCATGTCCTGTGAGGAGCAGCTGAGGGCTCTGGGTTTGGAGAGAAGGAGGCTGAGGGATGGCCTCATTGATTTGTATGGCTTCCTAACAAGGGGATGTGGAGAGGGAGATGCTGACCTCTTCTGCCTGGGATCTGGTTACAAGATGCATGGGAAGCCATGTCAGGGTAGGTTCAGGTTCAGAATAGTTAGTCTGGACATTAGAAAATGTTTATTTACCAAGAAGGTCGGGAAACATTGAAACAGGCTCATAAAGAGATGGTCGATGCCCCAAAACTCAATATTTAGGAGACATTTGGGCAATGTCCTTCTAAAATGTGTTTTAACTGTTAGTCAGCCCTGAAGTGGTCAGGCAAGGGGACTAGATGATAGCTGTAGGTCTCTTCCAACATAAATATTCTATTGTATTTATTGGCAGATTTTGGTTCCTGTAAAATTAGCAAATCATATACTGTAAGATAGCTGATTATCTGTGCTTTCAAATTTCAAACTAAAGTGGATTCCCAGCTCAAGCACGAATCTTGGAAGTTGTGTCAGCAAGACTGATGTGTTCTTAGTTTACTTGTTTGCTGTGGTCCTGAGGACCTGACAAAAAGACACCTTACAGGAAATCTTTCTTTTTTTTGAAGACAGAGTAAACACACCCATATTTAGCTTTGTTTTGATGTCTTTCTCCCATCCTATAATGCCCAAATCATGCCAGCTGAAGAACAATCTGAAAATAACAATAACTATAAACTGCTTTCTGGCTTCTAGCTTCAAAATAACACCACAACAGATGCTATGCAAGGCAAGCTTTTTTTCACCAGCTTTGGGGTGGGAATCTCATAATTTCTTGTGTACATAAACGCTAAGCTTCTAAAGAAAAGCGTTGTTCATGTGGTCACTCAAGTATTTCAGAGCAACAGAGCTCAGTTCAGAAGGCCAGTACTTGGCCATCTGAAGTGCCCAAACTAGAAATGGCTGCCGAGCTGTTTTCCACCATACCCTGGCACCATCCAAATAAATTACTTAAATGAAAGCCAGGAAAGCAAGAGAGCCCATGAAAATGTAGAAGAAAAAAAATCATTTTGGTTCCCTTTTTCTGAAGATGTGCTCTTTTAAATATTTATAATACTCAGCATTTAAACATACTACTAAACTTGAAGATCTATTTCTGCATGCATTTGAGTGCATACAGATTTACTGAGCCAAAGACTGCTCCCAAAATATCACTGCCCTCAAAAATATCAGACACCCCTATTTGGGCAATTTCTACCCTCTTTTGAAGCATCCAACCCAGTGAGGATATACCGCATCTGGCAACTTTGAGAGCAAGGTGATTTGTTGCACTCAAAAATGTTTATGTGCAAAAGAAGTGGCTAGATGAAACACTCTGGGATGGGATGTGGATCTGTTCCCCTCCGTATGCCTGCTGGATCTGGTACAGCCTGTCAGGAGCTGAACTCGTGGGTGGCTGTCTAATGGGAAAAACTGAGGCAGTCTTACTTGAAGTTCTAATGACAAATATACCTTTTAGAAGTAGCAAGCCATCTTCTCTAGAGATATTGGCTGGCTACTCAAGGAGTTGTCCTGCACAGGGGTGGAAAGTGGAGTGAGGTGAGAGTGAGTCAGTGAAGGGATATTTCTAAATCTCAGTGAGAAAAACCCAACATATTAATGCATCTACTTTAATAAAACAGAATAAGAAGAGGATTATAGGTAGTGAGAAGCACCTTACATCCCCTTGGGTGCTGGGCACCCCACGTTTGTGCAGCATCAGGCAGGGTCCTGTGGGTTTTGCCATGGCTAGAGCAGATCCTATCCATGGGGAGAAACTCTCCTTTTCTGTCATTCACAGTCCTGTATAACTTCCTTACATGTAAACAATTTTGGGAATAATGATAAAATTATTTAGCTGCGTTATGGATTCTGTCTACCCTGCTGCTATCAAGCTCTCCCTGTGGGTAAGTGATTATTGATATGACAGAAAAATTCTTAATT